CCGACTCTGTTTGCTTTTCATGTCGATTGTTATTTATCGGATTGCGTATCTCTCTGTGTTAAACTCACAGTTCTCGTATTCCCGTGAGATGCCAGTTATGTAGTCTGCCATTTACACCTGGGTTGCATTATTAGTATGCTCTTCTGCCTCACAGGGGTCATTTATACATGCAATGCAGACTCGAATGCAGACTCTCCTCCCATTCGCTCCCGTATTCTGGATACTGACTGTTCTGACAGTGATTCAGTCGCTGTGTTTCTACTTCATTCTTCACACAAATACTGCATGTTGAAGTGAAACTCTTAGCCACGTTTTACATTCTGAAAGTCATCTTTTGACTGGAGATTTTTAGTTCTCAAAAAGAGATATAATATTAGGGACCAGCAGTTAGTGTAATGGCTATGTCGTTGGACTCCCACATAGTCGACCGTGGTTTGCGTCCTGGACCCGGTGGCTTAAAACTCACACCAGGCGCATGTGCGTGCATGCCCAAGATCCCAAGAGGAGAATGGAGGAGAAGGGATTGCGGCATGGCCAAAATAAATCTTTTTATTTTATTTTATTTTTTTTTATCATAAAGCATGTACACTTGCCTGAGAGAGAAAGAGAAGGACATAGAGAGGGAAAATGAGAAATCATCGCCGGGGTGGAGGAGGGGGATGGCTATGCTCAATCCCTTCTCCTTAATTACTAAAAAAAGGATTTTGAACACGTGCCCCATGATTTTCAAGTCACTGGGTCCAAGACTCAAATTGTGGTTGGCCATGTGGGTCTCCACCACTTTAACCACCATGCCACCTGCTGGCCCCCAACCTGAATGTGTCTTGAATTCCTCTTAAAATGGGAAGAACCCCAACTATGATTGTCTCCCAGGGTTGTTACAGCATTAATTTGCTTAAGAAGAATATGTCCTTATAGGCACGGCCCTAAAATTTTAGCGGCGCTATCACCAAGGATTGTGATTTACAGCATCTATGTAAATGGTGCTCTCTGAAAGGGTATACCTATGGGGAATAGGAGATACCACTGTATTTTTAAGAACACTCTCTCAGACATCATTCCAAGAACTAGAGAAAAAGGATGAAATATTTTGTAAGCTGTATTAAAATACTTTGGGAGGTAAAAAAGAAAATGTTTTCCTGTTTTGCTGACTCAAGCCACATCCTAGGAGATGTTTTAAACAGTGAATAAAGTCTCTGCTTCTTGTCATTGGAAGACGCAATGAGCCAAATAACAATTACCCAAGGCAGTCTGAAATGACTAGTATTAAATACAGCCTCGTGGATTTGACATCTCTTACCTAGGATATTGAATGTGTCTGCGTACAGTTTTCTTGCCCCTCCTTACCTGCCACCTTTTAATTAAATAAGCTGGTTAAATTTCATCTGAGGGCAGTTTCCTTTGCTTGATGACCGCGCTTTGTTCTACTGTACATCACCTGCCGGGCCTTCTATTGTGTGGACGTCTACAGAGGGGAGTGCTGTAACTCAAGTGTACCAGAAGGCTCTTCCATTGTTATAAATCAAATTGGTTTAACCGTGATGGGGTTAAAGGTCACCCTAGCTTTTTGATGACTGTGCCGGCTGCTGAAAATTGCTGGGTTGCTCTTTTTCCTTTTTCCCTATCCCATTAACTGGGTGGGATTCCCTTACAAGTCCAGAGCAATGACTCCTTGGGCAACCCCAGTTTTCTAGTGTGAATTAAGGGGCCAGATGAAGCTGGCAGAACCAAATTTTGCTTTTATATATAATGCCTTCTGAATTCATGTGAACCACTTCTTCTGGGTTTCAGGTATTAGATTACTCCATAGTTCTTTCTTGTAATCAGTAAGGTGTTAATTTGATTTTTTTTTAACTTCTAAATTCTGTCATACTAGCCGCCTAATGAAAATCAATGAGAGAAAATAAGTGAATGCTAAGTATCATAATCCTAAAAATCCTCTTATTTTGGAATTCTATAGTCGTTTGTTTTTGGTGTTCATTGAGCTGTGACTGGCTTATACTTGGATAAGCAAGTCTTTTTTCTTTTCTTTCTTTCTTTTTTTCCTTTCTTTTTTTTTTTTTTTTTTTTTGCAACAGGTATAGAGTGCAAAATTCAAAGCCACCACCACTGTGTACATGCTCAGAGTAAACATATAATTTATATGATCTCCAGCATAATTTAGGCACATAGAAAATACTTGTAGCACATAAAATACAAACTGAGGCATAGAAATCTATTAAATCAGCAAATGATAAGTACTATCTCTGTTAACATTTTGGATCTATTTGAAACTGATTATTTTATGTTTAAATAGGTTTAACTTAATTTATTCCTGTAATTTCCTAGCACAAATAAAGACCTTCAAGAAACTGGCAGTTTGGAAGAAGGAAGCAAAACCACCGTGGTTCGTAATTACTTCTGGAGAAGCATGCTTAAAAGCTCCTCATCCTTACCTTGAAAATAAATATTTAGTTGCGTGTTTAAATTCTGGCTATTAGAATTACCTGAAGTCTTCACTGGAAATACCATCAAGCCTCAAGAAATGCAAGACATTCTCACTGTAGAGATATTCTTAGCCCCAAAGAGTCTGAGACTGTAGTTCCCGTCCTGCAGATATAAGCGTAAGAAAAGTGCGCTGGTTAAAGGAGCAGCAAAGGAAAGCGCCTCACGCAGCCTGCAGACAGCGAGTACCAGCAGAAGTGGGCGCATGCTTGCAGGACGGCTGCAGGCCCAGATTTCCTTATAATTGATGGACCTTGGCAAGACAGTGCTCTCCAGTCATTGACTATAATGTGAGGTTAAACAACATCTGCTCAAAACAAAAACAGCAGAAACTGCGCACTTCGCATGTGTGGAAAATAAGAGCTCCGTGTAGTTGAAAACTTTTGAGTTAGCCTCACTGACATATGCATGTATTTTGCGTTCACATTTAGGATTAGAACCAATGTCTTTTATTTGGGGGACATGAAGGATAATAGTACTATACTTATTATATGAATTAACTTCAGATAAATAAATACTAACCTGAAGCCTCTAATTGTGTGTCACACACAGTTCCTTGGCCAAAATGGACAGCATTTTAGTTTTGGTTTCTAACTGGGCCTAGCTGTTCACACAGAATTTAAATGACTTGACTGGGCGCCAGGGCCAGCCGGGTGGCGTGGTGGCTAAGGGTGGCTGGGTGCCACGTGGCCGACTATGTAATTCGAGTTCCTGACTGGATGGCTTGAAAAATCCACCAAGTATGTGTGCGTGCATGCCACAGTCCCAAGAGGAGAGTGGAGGAGGGACTGCAGCATGGTTATCCTCCTTGGGGGATGCTGTTTCTCTTTTTCTCTCTCCAGCGAGCACACACTCCCCACAGCAAATTAAATCAATAAACAAACAGACAAACTGGGCTCCATTTTTTCCTCACTTAGTGCTGTTCGAAGTAGATTTATGGATCCGACTAACATACCATAAAAACCAATCCTAGGTTTCAAGAAATTTATTTTAACAATTTTTTTTCTTTTTCTTTTTTTGAAGAGGTTTTTTGCTATAGGGCGCTTGCACTCACCAGAAAGACAGAGAAAGACAGAGAGACAGAAAGCACGAAATCACCCTCCGGGGGAATGGCCATGCCGCAATCCCTTCTCCTCCATTCTCCTCTCAGGATGTTGGGCACGCATTCACACATGCCTGGCGTGAGTTTAAGCCACCGGGTCCAGGAACTTGAACAGCGTTTGACTACATGGGAGTCCAGCAACATAGCCATTATGCTAACTGCTGGTCCCTGTTTTAACAATTCTTATTTCCTATTATTTACATTTTACTTAGATTATGTAAAAACTAATCTCATGTTTGGACATGGAAAAACATATAATAGAAAGATGATTATTTGAGAAGAATTTCCCTTATTATTTTTAAAGGATACTTTAGTTCATATTAACATATGTGTTCTCTCTATTAAATATAGTGTGTGCGTGTGTGTGTGTGTGTGCGTGTGTTTGCTTATTCATGTACACAACCGAGAAATCGTTCCTGTGAGTGGTGAGGCTGGGCCTCCTTGGCTGTGTCCCCGTGAAGGTGGCCTGAACAGGGCCATGAGCGCAGGCTCACGACCATCACAGTCTCCTGTCATAGCAAACCCCTTACAGTCAGTGCTTGCTTAGATAAACCTCGTTTTAGTGTGATAATCCCTTTCCACTATGTTAAATTTGAATACACAGTTTTAGTTCTACTCTCACACCTGCAAGCCTGACGCTTCTATTCTATGAAAATCCTACATTCAATGATTCCAACTAGAAAAAATAAAACTGGAGGAGAAAAAAGGAGCAACAGGTAGTGTGAAGGTTGTGGCTCATAACCTCCTTCGTAAGCTTTTCCCCAAAGAAGAGTTCCAAACAGTGTGTCCAACAACGATAACTTTGTTGGAATTGAGGATGTAACAACTTTGAGGGACAAATGTTCATTTAGATTTCTATATTCTGTTATGTTTGCTTTATTTTTTTAAAAAAAAGACTTGCAGAAAAAAAAAAAAAAAAAAGCACTTAACTCCTGCATGGGGGGCTGGTCCTGGACTGGGGTTTCGAAATGCACTCCAGGTACAAATGTACCCACGCTCAAAACTCCAAAGAATGGAGGGGAAGGAATTGCAGGGTGACCATCCCTCCTGGGGGGTGATTTCTCACTTTCCTTCTCTCTCTCTCTCTCTCTCCTCTCTCTCTCTCTCTCTCTCTCGCTCGGTCACTCTGGTGAGCACACACTCTCTATGGCAGAAACCTAAAAAAAAAAAAAAAAAAAAACCGGAAGCGACGCCACAGAGATGGGTAGGTGGCTCCCAGGTTCACTGTTCAGACAGAGGAAGCCACCGAGAGGTGTGGCCTAGGATGCTTTTGCAGGTAACCTGGAGGAGGGCTGGGAGGGGCTAAGCAGAGCTGGTGGAGCCAGAGCACTGCCCAGCTTTGTTCAGCGTTCTGGGCATAAATCCATCAGCTTCCGCATTATGACATCCAGGCCTTCTGTTCTAAGAAAGGGATCCGAGAGACACCCGATGGTGAGTTGAGCGGGCAGTGTTCTCAACTTCACAGCAACCACCTACACATACCATCTGTGGGGATCAGAGTGGACTCCCTGAATTGTGGTCCAATACTCCAGTCACAAAACCAGAAAGGATGGATGTTCTGCTCACCAAGTTACAAATGGCCCACTTCCTCCTTTATGTGAATATGTTTATACACACAACTAAGAATAGTCCCAGATTGCTCTCTAGGTCTCAGGACACCTTAAAATACTTCCTAAATCAGAGTTAAATTTATAACTCAGCTTCAAGTCACACGATTTTGGCCTCTTTTTGGTGATATTAAATGTTGCCAATTTAGGAGAGGATATTATCAGAATATTACAAGAGTGTGAAAAATTTAAGTTTGATGCTAGAGTCCGGAACATTTCAATACAATTCAACTGTGCAAATATTCACCGGAGCATCCACAGGAGCCTTTCCTACTGTCCTGCTCTAGGTTTAGGGCACAGTACAGTCCCTGCTCACAACCAGACATACAGACAAACAAGTTTCCACGTTAAGATTAACAATAGAATTTCCCTAAAGTTAGCTGATGACGGAATGGTTATCTTTTACCGGGAGTCGCTGAGATGAGAAAGGGAAGCTCGATGTTGAGCTCAGTTTTCAATAACCAGCAAGAATTCACCTAATTTACAAGAAGATTTTTTGTGATGGAAAGCATAGCACCTGCAAGGGACTCTACATAAAATAATTTGTAAGATTTTTTTAAAAGTAGTTAAGTTGTGCCACACAGTTGTGGCAGATGACGTGGGACAAAAATGTGTGCTAATGACAGTTTACAAAATCTAGTATGTTTTTAATTGTAGCATTGTTAAAATAGTTATTTCTACAGAATGAATCAGGATTTAAATGGAAATGCAAAATCTTTAATCAATGGTAGGATTTCCCAAAAGAATTCAGAAACCTATTTTAATCAAAGGAACTTGCTAGAAGCAATTGCCTGTGACAGCAGTAGGTCAGGGGTGGAGTGTAGAATGCCTGGGCTATGCATGAGGAGAAGCGGGCTGGCCGGACCTGGGTGTTACGAATCCCAGCCTTCCCAACATCTTGCATATTAGCTGTGGGATCTGCCCAACTCTCTCAGCTTCCTTATTCAATTTCTATCTGTACAATGTGGCGATGGAACTTGTGCTGACACACACACATCGCAAGGTTATTGTGAAGGTCAAATTGAATATGCATGTGAAGTTATAAGTTCTAAGTTTACTATATTCTTATTCCACACATAAATGGATTGTAGCCCTAACAAAGACGAGCCTGATAAAAAGTTAGCTTGAGAGTTAATCTCCTTACTTTTAACCCTGTGCTCCCCTTTCATTCAAGCAACAGCTGAATCTCCTACTTATACTTAGGCCACTACCCACTCAGGGCAGGGCACAAAGGCAGCGTTTCTATTCCTGGGCATGGCAGACACGCTCCCCGCAGAAACCAACCGGGATCCGAGAGTCTATATGCCTGATGTATGTGGTTTCAAAAGCTCAACATATTTGCGAAGAACTGGGGTAAGAGAAAGAATGTTCTTCCCAACATAATTCTGTTTGTATGTTTGAGGCAAGCCAAACAAAAACCACTTAACCATAGTCAGTTGCCTTTACTTTTTCAGACTTATGGTATCTTGTATTCTGTTAATATTTTAAAATCTTGATTCCTCTAGTCCATGTGCTTTGTGGTATTCAAAGTCTTTACTGATATGTCTGAGAGTTTTTCTTTCTTCCTTTTGCTTCTTTTCTTTTTCTCTTTCGTTTACTTTCTGTCTTTTTAATAGTTAGCTAAAGGGCATGTGCACTCACCAAAGACAGAGAGAGAGAGAAATTGCTGGGTGGGGGGGGATGGTCATGCCATAATCTTTTCTCTTCCAGCCCCCTCTTAGGATGTTGGACACACACACACACACACACACACACACACACACACGCACACACGGTGTATGTTTCATGATGCTGGGTGCAGGGCTGGAACCCCACAGTTGGTCATGTGGGATCTGCTACACTACCTGAAAGCTTCTTGATAGTGTCTGTTGGTCCTGGCCTGATTCTAACAGCATTTGACCTTTTCTCTCTCTCCAGACCAACTTAGGTTTTCTTTAGGTCGGTTCTCTCTGACAAGGACAGCCATCCCACTTTCACCCACACCATGGTCCCAAGCACCATTAGTTCAAGGCTGTTATGTGAAGGGGACAGGAAAATTACAGCCCACCCAGAGTAGCTCAATATACACTCACATACGTACATATCTACATGTGTGCATGCATACCACTACCCTGAAGTTTCTCATTTACTCCCAGCAGGAAGTGTTTCTCCAACCCCATTCTAAACACATATTCTTGGAACTTCTCATTAGACCCTTCTTACAATTTTGTCTCTACATCTGAGTCTTCCATGTCCCATCTTGCAATCCAGTAGTGTTAACTTCATTTTCCTCTTAGTTTATCACTATACTCACCCTGGGTTCCACCATTGTTTGAAGCTTTAGACCTTCTAAAAGAGGCAGCTTGAGGAACCAAGACTGCTTTGTCAAGGCTACCACGTTATGCCAGAGAACCTAGCTCCTTATCCATAAAGACCGTCAAGATATTTTTCTAAATGACATAATCTTCTACCTTAGACCATTTATATTACCAAATGTTTCATTTTTATTGTATATGTAATATTTTTACTGCAATCAAAATCTGTCAAATCAATCAAAATACAGTTTATTGAAACAAAATAAATTGCATATATATTAAATCATCTATTACATGTTTTAACATATGATTTATTTACTGGCATTTCTACAATACATTATTCACTCAGGAAGAGCCAGCACCTGAGGGAGAAAATACTTATTTTTAGCTATCTAAGTAATTATAATTTTAATCACATAGTCCTTATAGATATTTTTAGACTTAAAATTAAAGATGATTTACCATGAATTTATTCATATTTTCTATTTCTATCTATCTCTAATTATTTCTTCTGTGGTCTCTGATTACTCACTATGAAGCTAAATTTCCATTTGTTCATTCGTGTTTATTTATGGGTCAGGTAGGACAATTGAATACAAATGTACAAGTTTTCTTGGTAACTTACTCTATTGTTAAATGTGTCTTCCTGAAACTCGACATAAACAATTATGTCACTCTTCTTTTTTGTTTGGAAAGGTTTTTGCTATAGGGCGCGTGCACTCGCCAGACAAACAGAGAGACATAGAAACAGAAAGTGAGAAATCACCCCCCAGAGGGGATGGCCACGCTGCAATCCCTTCTCCTCCATTCTCCTCTCGGGATCTTGGGCACGCATGCCCATGCACCCGGTGTGAGTTTTAAGCCACTGGGTCCGGGACGCGAACCATGGTCGACTACGTGGGAGTCCAGCGACATAGCCATTACGCCAACTGCTGGTCACTCACTCTCCTTCATGAGAGGTGGGGACCTCACTATTTTACCTCTTTCTCTAGTCAATAAAAAGAACCACTTATCTTACATATGCACAAAGTACATATCTGCACATACACTATTTTTCAAAAAGCATTTTCCTTAAACGTGGCCTCCAGGGATGTTTTAAAATATAATTGGGAGGATTTGAATGAAAGGAATTTTCTTTTGACCATGCCTTATAGTGTGTGTGCCTCTGGTTTTAGTGGTAAAAATTAAGGGGAATGGTTATTTGTATTTCTTTCTATTCAAGTCTCATTTTCTATACTGGATAAAGGGTTATTTTTTGGCTTTTACATGAATTTAGTTTGCTTTTTATTATAAAATCATAGAATCTCAAAGCCAGAAAGGGTATTAGAAAGTACAGCATAGCAACCAATAGAGAGAGCCCTGTATTTAGCTCAGCGTCTTCTCCGCACTTACTTCTTATGTATCTTAAGCAACTTACATAAATCACTCATTCGGTTTTCTTATTTTTTTAATGGGGAAAATTATGGAGCCTATCTCTGGGATAAGATTGCAGTTAATGTAAGTCATATGTGTGGCCAGCATGAAGCAGTGCCTGAGATGCAGTAGGTTCGTCTGTCTGTCTTTTCCTTTGTGTGTGTGTGTGTGTGTGTGTGTGTGTGTGTCACATGTATATATATGGTTGGTGCCAAAGTAATTCTGATTGTGCATTGTTGAACTTTGCTGTTTGATATTAGATACATTTTTAAATAAATGTGGTTATGTTATACACCATTTTAATGCATCTGTTTTGCTTTTTATGTTGCTAATGATTTATCACTTGCTGCTTTTTCATATATATATTTTAGACTATGAAAATGATGTTAGACAAAAAGCAAATTTGAGCAATTTTTTTTTCTTGAGTTCAAAACGAGACATAAAACAGCTGAGACAGCTCACAACATCCACAACACATTGGCCCAGGAACTGCTAATGAAAGTGCAGTGCAGTGGTGGTCCAAGAAATTTGACAAAGGAGACAAGAACCTTGAGGATGAGGCGCGTAGTGGCCGGCCATCAAAAGTTGACAACGACCAGTTGAGAGCAATCACTGAAGCTGATCTTCCTATAACTACATGAGAAATTGCCAAAGAACTTAACGTCAACATTGTTTTCATTCGGCATTTGAAGCCAAATTGGAAAGATGAAAAAGCTCTATAAGTGGGCGCCTCATGAGCTGACTGAAAATAAAACAAAAATTGTTTTCGAGTGTCTTCTCTTATTCTATGCAGCAATAAATCATTTCTTAATCAGATTGTGACATGCAATGAAAAGTAGATTTTATATGGTGACTGATGATGACGACCAGTTCAGTGAATAGACCAAGAAGAAGCTCCAAAGCACTTCCCAAAGCTAAACTTACATCCTCAAAAAATGTCATGGTCATTGTTTGATGGGGTCTGATCCACTACAGCTTTCTGAATCCCTGGCTCTGTCAGTAAACCTAGACTTTTTCATGAAGGTGCCTTGTGTCCTACTGGTAACTAATAGTAATGATATTTTCACTAAACTTAATATGATATAAATATTTAACAAAAAAATCATAAAAATATAAATATGTAAATATTGACAGTTTCTACATCTTTATTACATTGTTCTAAATGTTAAAAGTAAAATAAGATGGCAGAATAAAATTTCATCTTTTGTGAATACATTGAAGAACTAAGAAATCAAAGAAATATAAAGAAAATAAATTTGGGGGTGAAAATAATCTTTCCAATAGGGTGAGGGGGGCTATGGCCTAGAGCAACTGGTAGAGTTGGTAAGTCTGAGCTCATGTGGAGGAATTTTCCTCATGTTCAGAACAATCACTCATTGGCTGGGAATCTGTAGAATCCCTACAAACAGAATTAATTCTCCCTCCCTACCTACCTACTGGTCTTCCACAACAGCTAGAAATGCAAGTTATGAAAAAAGAAAGCTATCAATTATTTAATGTAATTGTTAAAAAGAACATGTTGAAAGATGTATAACACATGTAAAGATAAAATATATAATGATGCTGATTTTAAAAAGACAGAAGGGTAAATAAAATTATACTATTGTAAGATTATATCACACATAAATCTATAAATTGCTATTTCAAGGTGAATTATAATAAACTAACAATGCATTATATAATCTCTTGAGTGACTACTAGAATTATACCATAAAAATGTATGGCTGAAAGGCCAACAGAAAATAAAATGAAATAATAAAATCTTGATTAATCTAAAAAGATAGAAAAGGCGAACAAAGAACAAGATGGTAAAGCATAAGATTGATAATTCCAACATAATCCATAACTATATTAAATGTAAATGAACTAAATGAGCAAATTAAAGTAAAATGATTAACAGACTAGATTTTAAAGAATATACTGCTTTTAAAGAGACTCAAATCGTGACACACATAGAATGAAAGTTAAATGGTAGAATAAATACCATGCAAACCATAAGAAAATTGCTGTGGCATAAGGGAAATGCAAATTAAAACCACAACGAGACACAGATACCTACCCATTAGAGTGCTAAAATTGGAAAGTGTCGAAAACCATGTGGTGTCAAGACTATGGAGCAAGGAAAACTCTCATCCACTTCTGTTGAGAACACAAAATGGTACCATTTCATTTAAAAACTGCTTGGAAGATACTAATATAATAAAACATGTTTCTACCCCATCATGAAACATATCCTTACTCTACAACCCTAAAATTCCATTCTTCGGTACACACTTAAAAATTACTGTATATCCCTTGAAAGCATATTGGATGTGTGTGTGTGTTTCATAAAACATATTCAAAATAACCCAATCTTGAAAAAAGCCTACGTCTCTATCAATAAATGATAAATTGTGACAGACTCGTGCAGTGAACATACTGCACAGGATATATAAAATAATTACCTATTTAAATCATGGCATGTACAGTGACATAAAAGATTGATACAAGCCAGCACAGACAAACCTAAATACAGATCACTGAGGAAGGCTAGGCATAAAAAGTAGTACTTCTGTATCATTCTGTGTGCATGGATTTACAAAATAGGCAAACTAGTATCTGATAAAAGAAATGAGAGTAATGTTTACTTGAGTGGGAGGTGAGGAAGCTTGTAGACAAAAAAAGAGACAGGAAGGAATTTTCTGGTTTCACGAATACATACATACATACAAGTAAAAATCAATCAAGATATGTACCTAAGATGTGCGTGTTTTACTAAGTACAAATTATGTCTTCTGTAAACATATAAAAAACAATAAACATTTTCCAGGAAGAAGTCAAATATGAAAGTTCTCCTCCTCAAAAATACGCTCTGTGTTTAGAGGCTGGACAGTGGCTCAGGGATAAAATACAACACTCTTGAGGTAGACCCATGTGGGAAGGTGACTGGCTTGCTTCCAAAGACCTCCCTGAATATGCCAGACACATGCACCTATGATCTGAGTTGGCTGAGGTTGAAAGTGGATCACAGCATCAAGACCCTGTCAGGGATGCTTTAGCACACTTCTGTGTCACTCATGGTATAAATAAACATTTTCTTAAATGCTATATCGTCAGTGTTTCTTCTCTTTCTGAAAGGCATCACTATTCTCCTAGTAATTCAAGCTCAAAACTTAATCTTGTAAATTATTTTTTTTATATCCCACATATAGTTGGTCACTCATTCACATTAATTTTCCCTCTATACATTTTATTAATTGTGTCTCATTCATGCCCTTAGAAAACTAATATACTAGTTTAGGCTCTTAGTTTAGTCTATTTTAAAAACCTTCCCTAAGTTCACTGAATATTTCTTCTCTCTATTGTTCTCTTATAATAGTTCCCACATTCTACTATAATTAATCTTGCTAAAGTATAAATATCTGATTATGTCATTTGTCTGCTCAGACGCATGACCCAGTGCCGAATGCTCTTTCTCTTCCCAGCCAAGTCTAAGTTCTCTGCTGTGAAGGGCAGGGCTTTGCACCACAAGTCGAAGAGCCGTATCGTGATCCACATTGAGGCTTGTCATAGCCACACACTGTTTCTACCACTGGCATTTTGAAGATCCGAAGTCCTGCCAGATCATCTGGCCCAGTGAGCAGGGCTCCTTCCGCTGCAGCCGGACCTGACGCTGAGCCTCCCCTGCTCCTGCATCGTCACACCTTTTTTTTTGTTTGTTTTTTTGGTCTGGAAAGTAGAATTCTAATGCACAATGTACATACAAATACAATTCCACACTCCTCTCCTTGGGTCCCACATCTCATCCATGTTCATCCCAGTACCTCCCAGTACCTGGTGTCACAGTCAAGGAGAATATTGTATCATGGATACAGGCAACACTTCCCCAGTATTACGCATTAACTCGAACCACCCTGCCATCTGGAATTTGCTCCCTGTAAACTGGAATTCAGAAAAGTCAGTATTATGTCTTCCACAAAGATGTCCCTGATCTTTTGTTAAAACTAATGGCCATCTCTTGTGATTCCCCACTTTTGTCACATATATGTTAATGTATACCTCACCTTTGTCTGCCTTATGGTTTAATCAGTTAATGTCTTCTCTTCTTCCTTTATGTGTGTTTTTTTTTTTTTTTGAAGAAGAAGAAGAAGAGGAAGAAGTCTTTGCTATAGGGCACATGAGCTCACCAGAAAGACAGAGACAGAGAGACAGAGAGACAGAAAGCGAGAAATCACCCCCCAGGGGGAATGGCCACACAGCAATCCCTTCTCCTCCATTCTCCTCTCAGGATCTTGGGCACACACGCACATGCGCCTGGAGCTAGTTTAAGCCGCCAGGTCCAGGACTCGAAGCGTGGTCGACTACATAGGAGTCCAGCGACATACCATTACGCTAACTGCTGGTCCTTCTTCTTCCTTTATTGTGACCTTTTCATGTTTGTATTCCCTACTGCTCCACAGAGTACTACTATACTCATATCATTTACCAAATTATGCTTGAATCAAATTAAACATATTAGTGAATTCAGCCTATCAATTGTCCTTTACAAATATTTTCCTTTTCTTTTTTTAAGAGATTTTTGCAATAGGGCGCATGCGCTCACTGGAGAGCGACACAGATGATGAGAGGGAAAGTGAGAAATCATCCCCCAGGGGGATGGCCACAATACAATCCCATCTCATCCATTTTTCTTCTGGGATCTTGGGCACTCATACACATGTGCCCAGCATGATTTTCAAGCCACCAGGTCCAGGACTGAAACCACAGTCAGCCATGTGGGAGTTCAACGACGTAACCACTATGCTACCTACTGACCCTAAATATTTTTCTTTATAAATGTTCTTGCCAGGACCAGCAGGTGGTATAGTGGTTATTGTGCTGGACTCCCACATGGTCAACCACAGTTCAAGTCCTGAACCCAAAGGCTTGAAAATCACACCAGGTGCAAGCATGTGTATAGCCAAGATTCCAGGAGGAGAATGGAGAAGGGATTACGGCATGACCATCCCTTCTGGGGGAGTGAGTTCTTACTTTTCCTCTCTCTCTCCCTCTCTGAGAGAGCGATGAAGAAGATCCATATAAGGAGTCTCATGGAAAAATGGATGTGCTCCTTCAGAGAGGAGTAAAGGAGAGTGGGCAAGAACCCTCTGTCAGTACGAACTCGTTATCATTATTCATTTGTTTGTTTTTATTAAAATTGATGCACTTTCCTAATCCACTAATAGGCCATAGTTGCCTGATCCTAATATTTTTGCATGATATTTTTAATCTAATGCATCCTCTTTACAACAGTAGAAGAAATTAAGGCATTCTGAAAATAATTTGAGTATTAATATTTGCACAGAGTATAGTTTATACAGTCAGAGTATAATTTTCTAAAAGCTTAGTAATAGAACTCTCATATAAAACAAAACTAACCTGTATCAAAATTCACTTCACTCATTCCTGGAAAAAACGAGTGAAATAGGAAAGCTAGTTTTAGAGCATGTAAGGAAGGAAAAAAATTAGACTTTATTTTTTCAAAAACAAGATAGATATATTACACTTAAAACTGGTTAATAAACTTTAACAAATGTTACTAGGAAAATTGGATATCTACATGCAAAAGAAT